TTCTTCTTTTTCTTCTTCTTCTCTATCTCACTCTCTCTCTCTCTCTCTCTCTCTCTCTCTCTCTCTCCCTCTCTCTCTCTTTCTCCCCTCTCCCCTTCTCTCTTCCCCCTCTCTCTCCCCTCCCCTCTCTCTTTATTTCTCTCTCCCTCTCACTCTCTCTTTCTCTCTCTCTTTCTCTCACTCACTTGCGCGCGCGTGTAGAGACACGAGGCAGAATGTTTAACATCTTTAAACTCCTTGAAATCAGCAGATTTTTGCATGTTTTGCAGGCAGGACGTTAAATAAACGTTTTTAAAAAGTAATAAAGAATAAGTAGTGACAAGAAGTGAAAAAAACCCACGAATGATAATAATAAAACATATTATGGCATTTCTTTTTAAAGCGCTCAACCTCGATCAAAGTATGCAAGCTCTGGGTGCTTAACAACACTACAGTAACATATAATCAGTACATTGATGTTCTGACAAGAAAGAAAATCTCGCTCTGAATAATCATCTCATTGATTTAAAAACAGAAATGACTTAAGCTGACATCTGAAAGAATAAAAAAAAAGATGCAATCTCTCTTAAACTACTGGGCAAAGCATTCTAGATCTTGGGACCTTGTTGTTCAAATGCTCTTATACCCATTATTTTAAGTTTCATAGATGGTAACAGAAATACATCCTCTTAAATACATTGTACAGTACTGCAGAGGTGCAATACCTTCTCCATCACACTACACACACTCAACCAACAACACAGACACTATATGGCGTCGGTGGCCTAGTGGTTAGGCTCTCGGACTCGCAACCGTAAGGTCGTGGGTTCGAATCGCGTCAGGGGCCCGACGTTGTGTCCTTGGGAAAGTTACTTTACACGAATTTCCCTCACTTCACCTAGGTGGGAATGGGTATCCGGCTATTGACAGCGAAAGATCTTGTCAGTTTGTTAGTATTTGAGCGTTTAATCAGCTGCTTGCACTGTATGCTTCCCGGGAAGCTGAGAATGTTTCGGAGTGTTCTATTGTCTGCTGGGGTAATAATATAGTGTAAAGCGCATATTATATAGAGCCTGCTGTTGAGCGGGGATATGCGCTATACAAATGCTATCTATTATTATTATTATTATTATTATTATTGTAATAACAAACTAGCACCTGTGCAGTAACCTTTAGGCACGTCGTTGCTGCTTGCAAAAAACTTGACTTTGATTCTCGTGTAGGGATATTTTTAAATGCATGTACTTTGTTTCGAGTACATACTATCTCACTCTTTCTTCTGGGACGTTGTATATTTCACAGCCAGAATTGTCCCAGGCAGGTGGGGCGGAAGCAACCGATGGGCACCTCCCAGTTTATCTAAATTGCTTCGATCAGATCGTAAAATTTCTACAGATTCGATACATATTGCTGATTGTTTTACTTAACGTGGCATAGCAAATTGCCACGGAACTACCCTGAACACCTATTATACTGCACGATAAACTGATGCAACCCACCTCCCAATTGATCTTTGATTGTGCTGAAAAGGTCGTATAATGTCTACAGTTACAATACATTAAACACTAAGTGACTTTACTGCCGCAGCAGTGCCCTGAACCCATGTTTTGAAGCTGTAGAAACTGAGACGAGTATCATATTATTATTATTATTATTATTATTATTATTATTATTATTATTATTATTATTATTATTATTATGGTCAAATACCTTTCCTAAGGACGTCACGTACTATACGAGGAATTAAGGAATGAAACTCACACCATGGCTGGTGCTCTGATGTTGTTTGCTCCTTCTTTCCTATGAAACATCTATCGTCCTTATCTTTCTTTTTTGTGTGTGTTCCTTACTCCATTGTAACGCCTCTGATCTTCTGCGCTTATATGAACCTAACTGTGTTGCGAGCGCCGTAAAACTCTTAATAAAACAAAACACACTCACAACTATTCCTCCTGCAAATCCAACGCTTAAACATTCGACGTGGATGCTCCTTTTGTTAATAACGCGTGTTGATGGACAGATAAACTGATGGTTCAGAGAATACAACATGGAAAGATCAGTGGATTGAGGAATGACTTATTCCAATCCCAATGTATTTTTTTCTCTGAAACTATTATTCCCAATCCACAGACGTTATCGAGGCAATGATTCTTCAGGTAAGTCTGCTTCCTGCATTTCAATCTTTTTTTCACAGCTTTTGTTTTTTAAAATAATTATAAATGCAGATCTTTGAAAGAGTTACTGCTGTTTAGTTTTTCTCCCTA